TGTTCCAACCGTCGAATTGGAAGCGCGGGATCAACATCAACATGGAGAAGAGATCATCCACCTAAGGAATTCGCTGATGAGGTTGTGCTGCTTGCAGAAAACGCGAGTCAGCTAAAAGAATGTTGCAAGCGCTCGACGGATCAAGTAGAGACGTGGGCCTGCAAATCAACTGGTTAAAGACTAAGACTATGTGATCGAATGCCCTGCGTAAAGTCCAGGTAATATTAAACTGTGAAAACGTCGAAAAAGTCTATAAATACATTTAGGTGTGCCATGGTATCAACGTGCAGCATGATCAGGCAGGAGAAATTCCAGGAGCCACATGGTCGGCTGGCGAGCGCCCAATTCCTTCAACGACGTTCCTCTGCAAAGTCAGAAAGAACCCTGCGCTGACTATTTCAATTGTATCGTCCAGTCAGATTGCTGCATTGCTATGAGACGTGGTTACTCACTAAAGTCAAGGAATGCTAGCAATCTGTCACGGAGACAGCTATGGAAAGAAGAATGTTTGAAATCCCACGTCGCGACAACATCTCCAACGCGGTGATCAGACAACGGATGGGAATGGAGATCATCGTCATAGAAAACAGAAAGGAGAAGCAACGGTGAGCCAGGCATGTAGGTGGTGTCACCAACTGGATATGGTCGGTTGATGCCTCTGCAAGCGGACTAGGCCGCAAAGACCTTTTGTCGCCCACCATGACGGTAGCAAGGTTATATCAAAAGCCGCAAAGGCCGCGCTTGGAAGGAAAAGGCTCGAAGTGGAGAGCATGCTGAGGTCGGGTGAAGTGATCAGAAATGTGAATTTCTTACCTTATATCCTTATATGGGCGGTTATCCTTTGAACAAAGCGCTTCGTTAAGAGCAGTTAACGTATCGAAGCCCTCAGCGACTTCGCCAAACACAGTGTGGATGTCATCCAAATAGTCAAGATTTTCTCCAAGAGTGAAGAAAAACTGAAAACATTACAGAAGTTAATATCGTATAATTAAATTAACAACAAAACAGAGCATATCATTCATCCTTTACATCATCGACTATCAATCAATAAAAGAAAATCTTTTTTCATCGCTTGCCCTTTCCTTCGCCTTAATTTCGTTCACTGCGATCATATTCCATTGCCTTAGTGATATATTATAGTGCAGCACCAGTAATATAAAAAATAACAGGTTGGAAACAGTACGCAAATGGCACATAGTCCTGCCCTCTTTCAAACCTTTAGTGAAAAATAGCAAAGACACTACTTACTGAATATCATATTAATGTAAAATGCAAAAACTAAAAAAGGCATAACGCCATTGCATAATTTTGAAAATAACTCTTCAGCAGCATTAGGAACGGCTTCAGGAGCTGGTAGCAGGAAATTTGGTCTTGGTTGGGTTATGTGTCATTTAACATACTGCGCCCTCTGAACATACTTTGATATTCATACAGTTCCTGATTATACACATAAGAAATGCTGTGATTAAAATGAACGAACTGACTCTAACAAACAAAATGATGCGACCTTTAAATGACACTACAGTTGCTCAGTCACCATGACACAATGGAGTCGTGATGTGCTTAAAGGTCCCTGGCAGTTAGGAGTAAGGGCACGGTGCAATACGCGGCTGGCACCTAACTCGTCCCACCGCGTCTAAAACCAACAACCAGATGCTTTCTTATTCCAAGTTCGTTGCGCTTGGCAGGTATACGGAGGAACAGTGGAAAAGTTGGAGAAGATCATGTGCCCTGGGGTCATGTTTAATGGTGATGGATAATCAGAGGAAGAGATCGATCGGCAAATTTGAATAGCCAGCGAATGAACTCATCTGAATCATTGTGATTAAGGCAGAGAAAAGTCTGAAGACTAAGACGCTTGTGTTCAAGTCGATCTCTCATCGAAATAGTTATCTTCGGTCATGAACCATAGGCCATTAAGGAAAAATTTCTATCCCGAGTACAACTGTTGACATAGGCGTCCTGAGAAGAATCGCAGAGCTGAAGCGTCACGACATGGTCCAGAGTATCAATCTTCGATTCTCCAGATTGAGAAGTCACAGCTGCGATGATTGGGTCATTTTGCGAGTGCTTTCAGAACGAAAGTCGAAAAACTATTATTGACTCAATCGATCAGCCAAAGACCTAGAGAAAGGCAAAGAACGGCCTAAAAGGCAAGCATCGATGAACTTTGCCACAGGATCAGGAACGTTGGAGAAACCGCC